TGATTGATTTGGGTTCAAAGATGAAAAAAAATATTCTCAAGGTTGCTTTTCTGAGAAGGCTTTTTAAAGCAAGAGATTTCTTAAAAATGTTAAATGACAAGTCTGGTTTTCTGTGCTTAATATGTGTGGGTGGAAGATAGGCTCACATCACATGTGCGGTTGCATCTGATGTCAAACATGGGTAAGTTACTTTCTTATTATCCCTGTGCCAGACAGTTGAGCAAAGCAAGACCAGCCCTGATTTGCCAGTAAGCTGATTATTTGGGACAGTATCTCAGTTACTTTTCTTGGTGGCTGGTCAGTGGCTGCTTCCTGTTCTTTTATACTGTTTGGTGTAAAAAGCCCTGGGGTGGCCTGCTTGGGAACGGAATGGGAGCCACCATGAATGGGAAGAACAGACAATGGGTTTAATTTCTCTGCTGGGCTGCCAATGGCTAATCATTGCCTGCTTCCCCCCTGCTGTCTCTTTTCCCCCTATTCCTCTGCATACAGTGCAAGTTTAGCAAGTCTAATGCTTAATGACGGGTAGGAAATCCCCTTTAAAGCAGAAATGTCCTTCAGTCTCACCACTATAGGGCAGCTCCCTCTGGTGATCACCTTTGAAATAGTTTTCTGCATTTCTAGCACTGTTTTCTTGTTTAAAATCCTTCATCATCATGAGCACTTTTTGGATGATGGAATTTAAGCCAGCTGTGCCTATTCAAAGAGGTCTTCAGAGCCAGACCAAGCAGAAGATAGATGCACATGGATTAAGATCTTCAGTTTCCTTAAACCAGCTTTGCAAAATGTCTCCCTATCACATCACCTGCCAAGGTGGGTAGACAACTGCAGTTCCACGCACTACCTCATCTCACTTCTGTTGCCCTTCTATCTTTCAGGAGGGGTTCTGAGCATTATAGAAGAGCTAATGGAGGGGTACACCTGGCTGTGACTTAAAAAATGACAAACATTATATTAAAGTCACAATTAGAAGGGACACAGAAGCATCTCAACCCTTGAAAGTGGAGGTAAAAATGCAACCTAGTGCACGAGGAGTCATGCCAACTGAAAGTGTCCTTGGCTGGTGTGGGTCTTCCGGGCTGTGTGGCCGTGTTCTGGAAGTTTTGTTTCCTGATGTTTCACCAGCATGCTGGCGAAACGTCAGAAAACAAAACTTCCAGAACACGGCCACACAGCCCGGAAGACCCACACCAGCCGTTGTATTCCGGCCGTGAAAGCCTTCGACAATACATTGAAAGTGTCCTCTTTTCCCCCAAACAAGCTGATGAAGTGAAAGATCTACTAAAAAGGACTAAAAGACATGATTTTTTTTTCTTTTGAAATTTTCCTGGGGATTTTGTGCTTCAAGGAAGGGGTTTTCAAAATGGGTAAGAGTGGCCAGAATACTGCTTCAAGTATATCGCATTACTGTACAGTATATTAAATGAGGCAGGGACAGTGAAGTTTGTTTTTTTGGCAATTCCTGGGGCAGTTAACTGCAAAATACCTTTAGACTGATTCAGTGATGAGCTTTAATACCTGGTTATAAGTGAACTCTGTATAAAAGTGAACGTATGTATGAAAGCTGTGTACATTCATTCCCTTCTGACACTTTTCACCATACTATTTGCTTTGTGTCTAATGCTGCTCTAAATGTTGGCTTGATCCTACTTACCTGCTAAATCTGTATCTGTTCCAGAGGGCTGCAACTATTTCTCTGTAAAAACTTTCTTTTCTGCTTCCTCTGGTAAAGCTGGAAGTTGATCCCAACAATATTCACATTAAATAAATAAAGGCAGTTTACAAGAAACCACAAGATGGAGCACATACTGCTTATCAAGGATAGCTAACTAGCAATGGCTGATACTCAGGTGGAGCAAAGAATTTTGCCCTGTTTCTGTGCTTCCGATGTCTTAGGGTATATTTACCCTGCACCATTAAGCTGCTCCTATCTTGTGCACGTGCTGGTTTGACTAAACCAGGTTAAGAACGTTTTGTCCAGATTGAGACACTTTGGCACCAGCTTGCAAGTTACTCAGTCAAGTAGCAGGCTACCATGCCCTCCTCTTGGACAACTCCCCTGCTGCTCTGTCCTCCCACTGTTCTGTTCCAGGAATGCAATTGCCAATCATTTCTTTCCTGTGGATGGGTCTTACTGGACATGCATGCTTGCTTGCTTATGTGTGTGTGTGTGTGTGTGTGTGTGTGTGTCTATACACACACATACCAACAAAAGTTAAATAGAATTTATATATACACATTTAAAGCATTAAAATGCACCTACATGGAGGCACACCAACCAGCATTAAAACATAAATTCCTTTCTGAATCCTTTGTTGGTCTTTACCTTTATCAGGAATGCTATAATAGCAGTGACATTTGCCTTTTCAATAGAAGGCTGCTGGTTTGAACCCAGTAGAATTTTTTACTTCCTGAGCTAGCTAATTTCATCTTCTTTTCCAGTCACCTGAGGTAGAACACTTCACCTGAACGAAATTCTTGTCAAGTGATTGGATAAAGCAGTGTACCACTGGACTTAAACATTTTTAAAAGCCCAGGGGAAAATAGCAACATTCACAAACAGTTATTTCTGGAGCAGTTCTTTCTATTCCTACCCAACTGTTTTCAAGAGCAAGTTTATCTGAGACCAAGGATTTCATCAAGTGGGCAAAATTGCAGAGAAATTTGCAGAGGTGAAACCAGGATGCCAGTCAATACCTATCTCATAGGCACAGGAATGATCAAAGCCCTTTGTACACAGAGATCCCCACACAGCCAAGGCCAGGGGCAAAAACTGCCTGCATCCACCCAAGCGGGAAGAAACATACACATCAGGGATCAGCTCAAAGACATACCTGCACCGCAATGTGTCTGCTGTTGGGATGTGGGGTAGGTAAAGAGTGATTGGCCCAAGATAGGACTCTTGGATAACTATGTATCACCAGACTAGTGACAGAAGTAAGTTAAACACACCCCAAGTTTAATGAGGATACAATCCTGGATGGGAGTGAACTGCCTGTTATTGATGGTCAGGAGAGACATGGCAGAAAATATTGGTGGTGGTGCACAAGGTACTTTTCAAGGACCATTCAATGGAATCTGATGATTTATATAGAAGCAACTTTGAGGGACAGGTGTCAAGTTGGTCTTTATCACTTACATAAATCACAAAGTGGGAGAAGATTCCATCTCTCCTTTAGTAGCCAAGTTGGAAACTACTATGGATTGGTTGATCCCTGAGGCAAAAAGGTGCAGACGTCTGGGATGCAGGGTACCATCATACATTTATGCCCCAATACAGCACAAATCTCCCTACTATAGGATCTCACTAAAAATAAAAACTCCAATGAGGTGAAGCGGGAGAAAGAACTTCAAGCAGCCTTTCACCAGTTAAAGGCAACCATGAGCAGTTGCCCAGAGTTGCCTGACTACTTAAAGCAGGGATTGCTAAACTTTTTGCCACCATACTTCCCTTAGTGTAATCTTAATGTACATACCTCCCTAAAAATCCAAACACCAAAATGAACACAAATGAACAATGAAAACAATACAATGCAACTTTGGGAAAGGTGGGTTTATTGTAACAATGTACAACTAAAAGGTTCTTCACGCCTCCCCAACCTAAAGCCATACAACATAACAATGTGTCAGAAAGAGATACTGGAGTGGTTCTGACTTAAATAGGAACTGACTGAATCCAAATCTGGTTTGGTACTTAAGCAAAACATTATCAGAGAGAGAATCCTATTGGAGCATTACAGAATGGGAGTGCTATAGCATTGCTTTAGTGAAGCTGCATCACTTCTTGTGGGGCCAGAGATTCCTACTGTGTATAGACTATGCCGTGTTGCAAGAGGCCCAATGCAAGAGGTAGTTCATCCACTGAAGCCTAATACTGAAAGAGTATGATTTCAGGTAGACTGCACATAAGGAAAAAGAGATGCTTTATCCAGAGAATTGTTTAATGAAAGGGACTATAATGGACCTTAGGACTCAGAGAGTTATCTCTAATTCCCCTCATTGTTGAATGCATACTAAGATATCTTGTTTCTCTAATTCAGCTGAGGTTAAAAACAGCAACACAAGGAGCCAAACACACTTTCTCCCTGGGTTTAATTTTATTTATAAGCTGCTTTAATCAAAGCCAACTCTGAGCAGCATACACCCCAACCATTGTAAATTGGGTTAAAAACATATAATATACATTACAGTAAAATAGAAGTAATTATATTGCATAAAAACAGTACATAGTAACATATAGCCCTAATCTAATCTGGTCAACAACCACCGAGCAAAAGGGAACAGAGAGTACCATTCCAGCCCCCAAGGCCTGATGAAGTAGCTATCTTTTGATGGGGTTCCTAAAAACTAGGAGGAGGGGGCCATTTGGATATGTGAGCAAATAATGTTCCAAAAAAAGGGGGGCAGTGGCTAGGAAGGTGCATGATTGTTGTGTATGCATAATAAATAGGGAGAAATGTCTTCCCAAAGGGTATAATATGAGTTAAAGGACGGGCAGAGACCATCAAAATGCTAAATAGCCAGTCAGGAGCAGGAAGATTCTGCTCATAGGTGGGTTGAGAGGAAACAGGAAAGGGCAGCTTTATTTTGCCTTTTGCCTGTTTTCTCACGTGAAGGAGCAATTCTTCCAGAGGTGGCTCAAAGCAAGGTAAGCAGAAGCCTCCAAACCGCAGGAATTTGGAATTTTAAATCCAGGAAAAATGTTGGGACCAGTGGATTACAATTTGATGGAAAAAGATTTCAGCAATGATGCTTTGCTACAGTTAGGGCTGAGGATAGGTTTTTGTTCTACCTGTTCAGTGTGTATGTGCATGTGCCTGGCTGCAGGAACAGCAGCTGGAATTATCATTTAGAAATCATTATTTTTCTCCCTTGGACTTTCAACCCTGGTATAGTTCCTTAACTTTAATATATATAATAAAGGCTTGAATGAACGTCCTAATTCTGAAATAATTTAATCTTAGCACATGCACCTCTCCGCTCAGTTAAGCTGCAAAAAAAGAAGGAACATGGGAGGAGGACATCATTTCCCGTAAGTAATTCAGCACTACAGAGCATTTTTTTGTAGAAAAGTGGTCCATGGCATCATTTACTACAGTGTTTCTCAAACTTGGCAACTGTAAGACATGTGGACTTCAATTGCCTGGGGAATTCTGGGAGTTGAGACCCATGTGTCTTAAAGTTGCCACGTCTAAGAACCCCTGATGTACTAGACAGACTTTTCCCAGGAGGAAATGATTTTGGGAGGGTGCAAGCATGATTATGGGGAAAGGGCTTAGAGAACCCCTGCTCATGGAAGCCAGAGGGTCCAACCCACCATACTAGACATCCATGTGTTCACTCTGTTGTGAGAATATTCAAATGTGTGTCTTTTAAGCTTATCAAAGTTACACCACTCTTATTTGGTGATCTTGGGTGGCTCCAGGAAGCACAAGAGGGCTGCTCACCTCTATCTTAACAAGTACAGTATTTCAGTGGTAATGACTCCATAATCCCCCAGTAAGTTCTCTCGACCCTTTTTTTGTATAACTGTAGACAACAGGACCTTCCGATAGCTGAAATGTGGTAATATGAATATTGATGGCACAGAGCCCCATAGAAGGGATTCTACTGCTTTCCCACTTTTTATATGGAATGTGCCTAAGAAGGTGCAAGTGGGGGGATCTCCAAGAATTACTTTTCACATTTGTCACACTGAATAAACATTGTAATATGACACCCATATCCCTGTATAGCTTGAGTTAGGAAGCCATGGCCATTCTAACATCTATGCTTGTGAGTTCAAGTATGCATCTCCCTTTTATTCTTAACATAATAGTAGCACACCTGGTTCTTACTTAGACCTGTAGCCCTCTTGGATGTTTTTTATTAGCTACCCCCACTCCCAGTACAGCTAATGGTAAGGGATGACAGAGAACCCGGTCCCTTGAGAATTTTAATACACCCCCATCCCTAGATTGAAGCAAATTTGAAACCACTGTTTTAACATTTAGCACAAATGTTTGTCAGAAAACAGATAGCTACAAAGTGTGTTTGCTAATAACTATAAACTTGTGTTTATTTATTTGCTTCTGACTATCTTTCTTGCTCTTTTTAAAGATGGCTATTTGAAATACCACTAAACAGAGCACCCCCTTTGTACTTTAAGCCAATTCACTCAACATAGTATTGGATCACTTTCATAGATGTGTGAAGAAACAGATAATCTCACAAGAAATGAGATCCCAGGAGTTTTCTCTTTCTTGTTATAGCCTGTAAACAGCTAGTTAGAAATGTCTGCCCTTTAAAAACAACTTTTTTCTAGTATTTTTTTACAAGCTGGTGGACTATCATAAGAAACAACAACTTAAAGTTCATACACAGATTGAGTAGTGATCTGCACGTGCCATTATTTTTTTTAACTTTTTATTTTGACAACTTCAAAATTGTCTAAGCAGGGTTGATAAAAATGAGTGGGAACAAAAGCAGTGCAGAGCACTGACTAAATGTATACCTTAATTTGAATCTTCAGTGTTGTGTTACATTTTTCCTTTATTACCTGAAGAGCTATTTTAAAGTGGGGAGGGAGAAGAGCGCAAGAGCAGGAATAGAAGAAAGTGGCAGTACAGTACAAAATTCTACATTTTGCATTTAACTGGAGAGAACAAAGTTATGCTGATATGTTCTTACCAAGCAAGAATTTACAAAATATGGTAATTTGCACAGCTTAGAACCATAACCAAGAGAATTGTCACAGCAGGACTATTAACTTTCCTGAGAGAGTGGAAAAACACCACAAACTTAGCAGCACCAGCATGTCTGAAAAAGAGAAGTTTACAAACAAACAAAAAAGTGGTTTTAAACATTAAATCTCTTCCAGAAAGTGATTCCAGTCCCACACTACAAATAGCAAAAGCAGCAGTTTTACAGAGAAGAGCTAGAGAACTCACGTTCACATGACAGTTCAACTATTGTTTCATTCCACCAGAGAGAGGCCAACCCTAGTACAGACTAGCCACAGGGAGAATGGCTTATATTTCCTTGCAAGAAACACTGAAGAACGTTCAATACTGCTCAGTCATTTGAGCAGTGGAGGCTCTGCCTGCTCCAGTTAAACATGGTTCCAGAGAGTTTGAGATGATGTGATCACAGCTTCGCCCACACTTTCTTGGAACTAGTTTTTCTTTGGCAGAATAAAGTCTCAGCAGTGCCAAGATTCCAGCTGCTTCAGTACTGATTGATACCAAAGATACGGACCCCGTGGAATAGGGGTAATTTGGGCAAGAGGACACTCAGTAGTGAAGTGGTGTTGATTATGAAGTGCACAGGGTCATATTTCGTATAAAAGCTGGTTAAAATGTAGCTGAAGAGAAATAAATATATTGTATTAGTTGCACACGTACACTCAAGCCTCTCCAATTCATTTTTGACTTAGCTTTCATTTAAGGAAAGATGTTGTAAACAGACATACAGTCATTACAGGTAGTCCTTGTTTAGCGACTGCCTTGTTTAGCAACCATTCGCAGTTATGATGGTGATAAAAAAGTAACTTTGTGACTAATCCTTGCATTTACAACCTTCACAGGTCTGCAAAGCAAAGGAAAGCTGAAGTAAGATCATAAGCACAGTTGCAGTTTCACTTAGTGACCACTTTGCTTAACAACTGAGTTGCCAGTCCCAATTGCGGTCACTAAACAAGGACTGCCTGTATATTTTAATAAAATGACATTACTAGCAGTCCAGCATTTAATCCATAGACAATCAACATTTGTAAGTAAGCAACAGATACTTCTGAGCAAATCAAACCTCAGTAGATTCAAACAAAATGCTGACTGTCCTTCCCTTGCTGCAGGTTTCAGTCTAAGCAAGGAAACCAGTGATAATGAATATGGAACTTCTTACCAAAGGAACTGCTTTTTCACATCAGGTGAGTGACTGGGAAAAAAAACATAACTCATCTAACATCTAAAATCTGGATGAAAATGTGAATCTAGTTTCCATAACAGTGACCTAGGTGCAGGTAGAGTTGGAAATCATTTTCAGCTACTCTGTCCACCAGATTACTCCATATTACAGTACACCAGAGAGGGGTTATAGAGTGCTGGCAATCTATAGAAATTCTATTTTATGTCTTTGAGCACCTGTTGCTATGGCTGAGCAGCCCAAGCAGTGAATGGATTCCAATTTTTATTGCTGCACAGTAGTTTCCTTGACTAGGGAAACTGGGCCAATCTAAAGGTTAGGCTTTCTTTCAAAGATTTCCAACATTCATATTGACTGCCCTCACATTCACTATGACTACAGATTTCTCCTAGGTAGTACGTAACAACAAACTTGGAACAGAGCATACTTTTGATTTGGTAATCTGTTGACGCTGAACTGAAGCTCTGAAGATAGAGTTATTACTAGTGGCTCTGTTGTCACAAACATTATCACTTTCTGGTTGCGGTGTATGAATTTCTACCATGATAAGAGATTGGTAAAAATGATTCATACCCAACCACGGGAGGTTCCAAATGTTTCTTGCTTTATCTGGTTCATTTGCAGATTACCACAGTTACAGAGAAAATTCGCATTCCCATATGAGACCTTCACTAAGATACTGGAGAGGGAATATCAGACTCCTGTTGCAAATAGTTTACTTTGTTCTTTGCAAGATCTGCCTTAGTTAGGATTTCAACTTTGGGTACACCAGTATAACATCAGAAGTAGCTAATTTGGTTGCTTTGGATTTTTCTGAGCTTATAGAATTTAAATATTCCAAGAACGTGAAAAGTATGTTGGGAAGAACACAAGCTACTACCTGTTGATACTGTCCTTGACAGAACTAGTTTTATGGTTTAAAACGGGAGCAATTTTTTTTTTAAAAGCCTTATTTGACTCAACAAACCTGGGAAATTTTAAGCCAGTTTCAAATGTATCATTCTTGGCTAAGGCTGAGAAGATAATAGCACAGAAATTCTAGGTGTACCTGGCTGATGATCATTATCAGCTAGGGCTCTCAAATCCAAACAAATATGGGAATCATGTTACATACATTGTGCTAACAGAGGGGCCACATTCATACACATGCAAAATGTAACATACATTAATATTAATTATTAATAAAATAATTAAAGACATTAATTAAATTAATAGAACAATTAAATTAATTGTAGTAGCAAACCTCAGCAACTGTGTTGTTTTGTGTAACCCCTGGTACCAACTAGCATGCAGAAACTCATACAAATGGCAACATCTCTGGCAATGCTTTCTCTAAGCTGTGCACCTGCGCAGCAACCCTCTCATTTCAGTGCAGCAGCAGCAGCAAAGTCACCCTGTGCATAAGACTTACTCGGTCTCTTGACAAAGCTTGAAGGCAGCTTGAAAACTACCTTTTTACAAGATAACAAGGCAGCAAGACTGGACAGCAGTGGAGAGCAAGGACCTGCAGAGCTGCCCCAACAGGATTCGGGCTCTGGCAGCACCTTAATGTTTATTACATGGTGGACTGTGCAAAAAGCCTCAGCGGGCCATGTGATTAAGACTGCTTATGTTGAAGGGCTTTTGAACAACCCATAGAACTGAAACTGCATGATTGCCGTAGTCAGTTGGGAAATAGATGGCAAGAGCTCATCAGAGTAGTTGATGTGAAATCTTTGTAGCGTTCAGTATATTTCAGTTCAGTACAATTAACTTTGACACGTTTAGGTACTGTATTGCAATAGCGCCATCATTCCTATGACATCTTGTCTAAAAACTAATGCTGCTGAGCAGTCTGTCCTTCTATCCTACGTCATCTTTTTAAAAAAATAATTTTATTGAAGTTTTAGGAGGTGTCGACATCGTGAGGCCGACCCTGCTTGGAGTTTAGAGAGTAAGGAAGATGACTTGCTTTTGGACATGTGGAAAAGTGCCTTCTCTTGCATCACTCTCAACTGGAATGCTCTTTCTTCTGGACTAAAATTGATCTGCACTGTTTCAGCAAGAAGACCCATCTGTTTAATCTGGCTTTTTAGAAATATTAATATTAGTGTTTTGTATGTTCTGTTTTTTTTTTTATGTCAGCATGTAGCTTCAGTAATATTTCTGGAAAAGTGTTATATAAATCTTATTAACAAACAAACCTAGGAACATTCCTATTGCATCAGACCAAAGTTCCATCTAACCTTTTATTAAACATTTATTACTACTATTGAACTTTCCATTTGGAATTTGGGGTGCTGGTACTTGGCCCATCTCGGTTAATAAATTTATACTTCAGTTTGGAAGCAGATGATTGGGTTTAATCAAAATCATCTTAATAGTACTTTGCTTTACTACAAGGCTAACTTTATGCAACATAATTATAACCAAATTTGGTTTTTAAAGCTAAGAAACAGCCATATACTATCCCAGCACTCAAACTGCCCTCTCTGCATAATCCTAATATAATCCTCAAAATTACACCAGTTTTCTGCAGAGTGCTAAATCATTTAATTAAAAAACAACATTACAGCCATTTCAATGAGGCAGCTGCATTTTTTTTAAAAGAAAGCAAGAGTTTATATCTCCCTCTCTTTCTAGAATCCATGGGATGTGCACAAAGGGATGCTCTATTTTATACTGTTCAGGTAAACTCATAACAAGTAGTCAATATAACTTTTAGGAAAACATAGAAGGCACCTCACCACCAAAGCCTTCAGCACTTTCTTTCTCATTTGGTGTCAAGGAAACTTAGAGATATGCATACAGGTAGTACTTGGGTAAAAGACCCTAATTGGGACCATCGCTAAGTGAAGCAGTTATTAAGCAAAACACCATGTGACTGTGCACACTTAGCGACGGCAGTCCCAGCATCCAGATTGTGGTCGTTAGGTCAGGACCACGCGGTCGTGAGGCCAGGACTTCATGCTTCTACCCTGCATGAACTGCCTCTGCTTCAACTCCCCCCCACCCATCTCTGCCCTTTTGGCTGCCCTGCACAGTATGGCTGAGATGAAGATGCCACTCTATTCCTCTACTGCCCACCACCACCACCACCGCCCCCAGCTGACCTTCGTCCTTGTTTTCGCCTCCCTCCTCTTCCTTCCCCACGCAGCCCAACCCCAGCCCAGTGCGGGAGACCCAGCCTCTCTTTTGGCCAAGGCCCTGCAAAGCCTCTCCCACCCAAGTGCTGGCCAGTTTGGCTGAACTTCACCACAGGGATTGTGAGTAGCAGCAGCAGGAGCAACAGCATCTTTCCCTGGGCAGACCCGGACCATGTGCTGCCTTTGCAGGAAAGAACTCCCCAAGCTGAGCGTGCCCAAGGACCAGAGCAGGAAGTGGTGGGTTGCAGAGGCAGAGCCGCAGCTGCGGCTGCTCCAAAAGTCTCCACATCCACCGCGGGGTTGCCCAGTTAACAGTTCACTCCTGCCTTGCTGCCATGGTGCAAAGGCTGGAGAGCCACCCCAAAGGAGCAGCAAGCCCCGGCAGAGGGACTCAAATGTTGGTGACAGCTCTTCACAGGGAGAAGCAGAACCAGGAGGAGAAACAGAAGCTGCTGTGGGTGGTGGGTCATACAGGGACTTTTGTGCCTGGGTGCCAGGTGGTCTAGGGGATGCAAGCGTAAACTTCCCCTTGCAGGGTAGGCATGCCAGCATGACCCCCAGCCAGCGGGAGCTGAGACTGCTGAAGCAGGACAGGCCTGCCAGGAGCCCAGTGCCTGTCGAGGCAGTAGTGGAGGCAAGCCTAGCGGAGGGGAAGTGAGCCAAAGGCGACAATGAAGATCAGCTGGGGGCAGAGGAAGGGGGAGGCAGTGGCAGAATACAGTGGCCTCTTCATCTTGTCCATGCTGTGCAAGGCAGCCAAAAGGGCAGAGATGGGGGGGACGACAAGCAGGTGGGGGGAGTTGAAATGGAGGCAGTTCACGCAGGCCAGGAGAACGTGACCACAGGACACTGTGACAGTCATAAGTGTGGGCTGGTCACCAAGTGCCTGAATTTTGATCATGTGACCATGAGGATGCTGCAACAGCCACAACTTTGAGGACCTGTTGTAAGTCCATTTTTTCAGCACCATCATAACTTTGAATGGTCACTGAATGAATGGATGTAACCCGAGGTCTACCTGTAATCACTACTAGATATGTATTATTGCTTGACCTGAAACTAAACAAGCAGGTACAAAATTCCAATAACATGATGAACCACAACCAATGTGCCCCAAATATTAACTGCTGGGGTACTATTAGTCAAAGGAGCTTAACTTTAATAACAGTGCTGGCCTGAGCAATACTTAACGCTTACAGGATGATTGGTGAAATGCTTAAGAATTTGCGAGAGGACGTCCATTGTGTACCATAGTCAATCTGTTCCCAGTGTGTGAGTAGGCGATCCTTGCCCTGGTCAGGTGTTTCAAAGGGAGTCCCTTTCACTGTATGGAGAAGCCAATACATCACCTGGGAGGAAAAAAAAATAACAATTTTCCTTTCTTACTTTCCTGAGGAATACAAAAAGAATAAAGGTAGCAATAATGACTTCTTGCACTTTTCAGATTACCAAGTAAATGTGCAGAATTACCTAAGGACAGGACTATTTTGGTAGAAATTCCTAAACACTGTACAGTGAATGAAACTATAGTGGGATGGAATTTAGATACTTGTGGCAGACCATACAGAAGGCTCCAAGATTAAAAGTTGTCTATTTGTATCCTAAATGCTCAGAACAAAGCCAATAGACTGACCAGGAATAAAGAGTTTTGACTTACCAGGTTATGGATAACATTGGTTAGAGTCCAGACCACAGGGACACTGAAAAAGGGAATGCTGAGAAAGATGACATGAAGCACAGCCACTGAAATGCTGTAAGCTAACCAAATGCCTCGACTGTTCATCACTCGTGTGTTTGGATTCACCTCACTGTGGGCTACTCCAACATTCATGCTGTTGAGAAAAGATACACTGGTGTGTATATATGTAGACACTCACGTGTTGGTATATGTGTGTGAATGTGTATCAGAAAACATAAAACAGGCCCTCTATAGGCCTGGTAGTTTTGAGGGTTTTTTGCCTGTGATGCCTTTTTTTTTTTTCAGATTTCTCTGAAGCTGATACCTGAAGTTTTAACCCTGAACCTGAGCTACATGGAGCCAAATCAAAATACTGTCTCAAAATCACTCAGTTAGCCCTTGGACATCCCATACCTAATTTCCTCACAAGAATGGGGTTAAGGCAAGCTATTAAAATAATTATACACTAGCTGACAGTAACCTTTTAAAATCTACTCTTACCACAGAAAAGGCAAGCATCTAAAGTTGAAACAGAGCCTCTATGGCATCACTTGGTCAGATGACCTTACCAGCAGCCTCTTGTAGATGTACAACAGGAATAGGAAGACTGTTGAGCCCCAAGGCACCTCAGAAAGCAGGAGTTGTGAGCTAGACCTCTCCCCACTATCAACTCTGACTGAAACTGGTCCGGAGGAGTGATTCACTTACTTTTATTATCTGGAATTGTCATTCAGAGCCATAACAGAGCCAGGGAGAACAAAGCAAATGGTGATAGGAATAATTTGTTATTTGCTTAGTTTTCCTGATGCTGTGGTATGGATGAAGGAACAGCAACAGTGTTTTTTTTTCCACCCTGAATCTGTAAACCATGGTGTTGGCTGGAAGGAAATTGCTCACCTCCCAATGGATTTCATGATGATTTCATCATCATGATTTCCTTAGGAAAAAAAACTACTATAAAAACACCTTATTATAATGACTTCATCCCTGCTTCTAGCACAACTGCTTGTATTTTAGTTACTGTGGTATTTTCTGTTTAAGGACTCTTTTAATGGATATGAGCAGCTAGAAGAAAGAATATAAATAGTTGTTGCCAGAAAGCATAGACAAATCTAAGGTCGAGAAACCCAGGACACGAGAGCTTCTTGTACTGGTACATTCAATTCTTATCTCAGCCTTCCTCAATCTGATGTCCTCCAGACCCGTTAGGGCAGCAACTTCTAGTCAGCAGGCAATCTCAGCAGCTGTAGTCCCGACACATCTGGAGGACAGGAAGGAAAGGCGAGGATATGCTAACCCGCTCAGGATGGTCCATATTTTGTTATCTTAGAGCATTAAATCTTCCTTCCGCATGCAGAAGTCTCGGAGGGAGAGTAAGGCGGCGGGCATCCTCGCTCCTCATTCAGTCCCTAAAGGATCCCTTTCTTCTTCTCTCACAGGGAGTCAGGAGCCCCCAGTTCTGCTCCAGCCCTCGTCAGCTGCCTACCTGCCGGCTTCCGCGACGGCGCCTGTCCCTACGACGAGACGAGAAGAAAAACAGCAGTGGCGGCAACCAGCAGCAATAGCAATCCCTTTTCCGCACGCAGTTACGTTGCGGGCGGTCTCCAGGAAACCGTCTTGCGTCTCCACCCCCTCCTCGCAGATCAGCCAGTCAACAAACAGTCCAGCCACACTGTTACCTTCCTATTGGTGGTTTTCTTTTACCACTCTAACCCTCTATCCGGTTCTTCACAAGAACCAATGGCGAGGGACGATGTTTGGAGGTGTTGGGTTCAAGTGAGAGCGCGGCTAGGATTGGGCAGGACCTAGAGGGGGTTTTCGGTGATTTGCGACTGGGGGGGTGGATTGTTGAGGGAAGCGAAGATAAGATGGCGGCTGAGACAGTCGAGCTGCACAAGTTAAAGGTATTGAGGCCGGTCTCAGCGGAGCACGTCTTTCGTTTGCCCCGCAGAAGAAGCGTTCTCTCCCTCCTCCTCTTTCTTGACTATAGGAGGGAGCTGCCTTCTGTTTGTGGGTGGGTTAGTGGACCGACTGCTTTGTCACCTTTCCGAGAGCGCGGGAAAGAGATGCTGTGATTCTCCTCACGTCGCGCTACTTGGTCTGAAGTCGTCTCCCGCCCCCAACCTGATTTTATAGATGGCCCTTCCCTTCCATAGTTGTCCTCCTCTTCCCTTTTCAGAGAACAGCGCCCCTGTTTTCACATTTGTTTTGAGGATCTGTAAACCGTCTGCAAGTGCTACGTGTTGCTTTTTGTCATCCTTCTGCGACTTTGCTCCAGGAGCTTGACTCAGCAATTGAACAAGTAAAGCTTTCTGTAATATGGAAATTCACAGTTACCTTCTTGTCGGGCATGAGCTTTTAAGAAAACCATTTATGTATTGTTGCTGATATCTAATAAGTTAAAAAGATAGATCCAACCTGAGTTTTCTTCACTGACCAACCTTAATTACATTTGGAGAAATCCTTCAGTTTTTTTTATTTCAGACTCCAGTTGATGCTTTTCTTTCAAGGTCATGATGTTGTAAAAATCTGAGAGGACTCCATAGTCATCCTTAAACCACAGTATCTGCCTGCAGGAGTTTCAGCTCTACAGGTAGACCAGATCAGGAAACTAACTCCACAGAAATATTAGAACTATACTTTATTGAAACAGACTATAGTAACAGAATCTTGCCTATTTCCCTCAAGGTCCTCTCCTTGACTTTCTACAAGGAGGCTTTGGCCTGATTTTTAGATGTCAGCTTTAAAAATGTTTTTTAAGTTTTACATATCTGTAGGAGATCACATATATTTGATTAAGGTTAAATCCTTTCTACTTTAACAGCTTGCTGAATTGAAACAGGAGTGTTTAGCCCGAGGATTGGAGGCAAAAGGAAACAAACAAGACCTCATCAACAGACTCCAGACATATCTTGAGCAGCATGGTAGGTTTCTTGCTACTGTTTAAGATCTTCATTGGCTTAAGTGTACAGTATGTACATTTCTAACGCAGGTAATCAGGTATTCTGTAGGAAAGACTGTTGCTATAGCAAGAAATGTTAATTTATTTACTTCTAGTGGAGGTGGTACAGGCCTACATCCATTCTTAATTCTTTTCTTCCAAATTCCAGAATGGGAATAATATCTTTGTTTCATGAGAGGAAGACTGCATTCTTAAGGATTAAATTCATTGGGAATTGCTTGCCAGTATGATTAGAGTTTATGACAAGTGTTTATTCTTCTGCAGAAGAAGGGATCCCCAGTCTGGTGCCCCTTGACACCTCTCTTGATGCTCTCAGGATTCTGTGTTCTACTGATATTTTTACTAATGTCATTGACTCCATAAAAAACCATGGCAGTTTTTTATAATTGAGTAGGTTGCCTTGCTACAGTATGCTCTCCAAAGTCCAAATATGTTTCTTGGCTTAATTTAAATGAACTGTACACAATGACTGGTCTACACTGGTGGCTAGGTAAGCGCAGATAAAGTGGAGGCTAATGCCTAGTAAGAAATGTACAGTAATGGAAGCCCAGCCAAAGTACAATTATGTACATCAGCAACTTCCATAGACTGTCACAATAATGGAACAGTTGCATGAATCAGACTCTACAACCAGATGTCATTGGCAATGATGACATTTTATTAACTGGCAGTTCATCATCATCTGCTCTCAGACAGTGATTGATAATACCGTTAGCCCTCAGTTGGCACTGATCTATGCCATGTTTCTCATAGTGGATCTGCTATGGTAGACCTAATTGCTTGTTTCATTTATTTATTTATTTGGTTCACATCCTGCCTTTTCTCCAGGAACTCAAAGCAACTTACATTGAGATCTCTCTTTAATTTCTCCTCACAATAACAACTCTATGAGATAGGTTGAGCTGAAAGTAAGTAATTGACCTAAAACCACTCAGTGAGGTTCCATGGCTAAGAATGGACTTGAATCCTAATACAGTCTGGTAACCCTATACTATTCTGTTAATAATCACTACAGCTTATAGTCATATCTGATATAAAAATAATTTTGAATAATATAGAGACAGGAAGAAACCTTGCCTAGTACCAGTGAACTAAAATCAATGTTTTCCATGAGGACTAATTTCTCTTTCTTTATGAAAAGAGGCAAGATAAACTTCATTCAGAAAATGAACATCTTATTGAAATGAAGTGGAAAAAAGGAAACAAATTTGGACCAAAAATGTACAAGAAAAGGAAACGGGATGCAATAAAAAATTTACAGAGCCCTTTGACATAATTTGTAAGCCACTTGATTTTTCAATTTTTTGTTTATCTCTTAGATTTGTGTACCATGAGAGGCAGTACCTAACATGTTAAAGCACATTCATAAATATCACTAACATTATTAAGGCTGTCAACAGCACAATTATTATATCAGAAGAAGGAAACTGGCCAGTCATATAGTACAAGTGCTGATGTATCTAGGCAAAATTGCAAAAATATTTTTCCTGTGGTTTCTAAAAAAGAGATAACTAGTTATTGTATTATTGAGAGGCAGTTTGACCTTTAAGCAATTGGAAAGCTACAGTTGTGTTTAGTGGAGAAAAATAAAAGGAAATTACAGAAAAGTTACGTGATTTTTTGTGTGTGTGTGTAGGGCAGATAACTGAGCTGAATTTTTCAGGAAAGGCAGATAATAATGACAGGGAAATTATATTCTAGGGTAATTGGCAAAAAACCCCCACTGGATTGAGGTATCTACCCATGGATAATTTATCTGGTTTATATTTGAATTCTTAATTGTAAATCATGAACATATAACCTGAGAGAGTGGGTAGAGTTGAATCTCAGAAATTACAGCCTGGCTAGTTTAACATCTGGTCTAAGAAAATTGATCAAAATTGTCAAGCATATTGAATAATGCATTTTCCTGAAAAAAGAAGCAATATGACTTCTGCATGGAAGGATGACTGAATTTAAAAGATATGGTGGGCTGACTCTGTATGTGTCATTTAATTGAAATAGCATCCAGATTAAAAAATTAGTCTATTCAAAGAAAAATATGCAGTAAATTGCCACGTATGAACATCAAATATAAAAAATGTGATGTCTGCAAAGAGAGCCTGAAACTTATGATGGAGAATGTAAATCAAAACACCAAGAGAAGCGGGTCAGTGTAATAATGATGAATAAAATACAGGTAGTCCTTGCTTAACAACTGCCCTGTTTAGTGACCATTCAAAGTTACAATAGCACTGGAAAAGTAACTTTATTACTGGTCCTCACAGTTACGACCATCTCAGGGTCCCCGCGGTCCTGTGATCGAGATTCAGGTGCTTTGCAACCAGTGGGCATTTATGACTGTCGTCGTGTCCCATGGTCACGTAACTGACATTTGTGTGCTTCACAGCCAGCTTCTGACAAGCAGTCAATGGAGAAGCTGGCAGTAAAATCGCAAGTCACAGCTTAACAACCTTGGGTGACTTGCATAACAACAGCGGGGGAAGTGAGGTAAGTCTGTTACAGTTATGTGATATTTTAATGACTGTGGCACTTAGTGACAGAGTTGCTCTGTCCCAATTGTGGTTGTTAAGCAAGGACTACCTGTACTGGAATTAAGAACAAAACAGACTTGTACAGAAAAGCTTTGATTTAACAGACTTTGGGTACCACAAGCAAGCTTTCTGCCCAGAACCGCCCCCCACCAAAGTATCCACAGTGATATTATAATGACATCATTGTGTACACAGCATAAATTGATACAAATGACGTGTTTTAGTTGAACAGGCGTTCTGGATTCAGATACCCTTTACTCCAATTAGTGCATTAAATCAAGATTTTACTGTATGTAGAGGGACACAATGGTTCTCTTAACACGAGAGATTGAGAATAAATAAAATAATAGAATACCTTTTCTTTTTTTCTGGAGTAAATTCAGCTCATTTCCTTCTTTTGAAACCTGTGGGAAGGAAATCTACACCAGACCTAAAGGCAGTGTGAAATAAAAACTTGTTTAGGAACATGCTAGAGAAACTGGAGAATTTTGGATCCTGCAGGACCAAGTCACTTCTGGCACGCCTGAAGGTTGTCCTCTGAATAATCTCCTATTCTTTTTTTCAGTAGATGGGACTATAAAATAGTGATCCAATCAATTCTATGACCCCTACAATAGCCTTATGGTTTCACCCTTAATAAGCAAACTAAACATAAAAGTAATCTATGTTATAGAGCAAAAACAAAGAAAAAAAACAGGATAGCAGTAATTAAAACAGGAAACAAGAAAGTAAATAAGAAAAATTATTGGCTGACAATGCTTTCTAAAAAATTATATAAACTGACATACTAAACCAATATTCCATCTTTCCGATGCATTGGGCCTGCAGCTATTAGAATTACCCAGTCACCATGGGTAGCATGTACCTAAGACTTCTGGAACCTTTAGTCCCATCACACTGGGAGGAGGCCACATTGGGAAGGCCAGCAAAATACAACACAAAATTACTAAATACAACACAAAAAGCAAGAAATTATGTAGAATACAAAAAATTATAGGAAACAATAGTGGGAGGGCGGAGCTGGCGTCGCGGCGATATGGTGGGCGATCCTGGGCTCC